CCGTATCTGCAATGCCTAGGACAGTGCCTGGCACGCAGGGAGTCTTCAAAGCACGTTCCGCTGACCAAGGAGGAGTAAATGAAACTGGAGGAGGGTGGGGGAAGTTGGAATTCCTGAGCACGGCTGGAGGGGATGCGAAATGGGGCAGCCGCTCTGAAAACCAGGATAGCGGTTCCTAAAAAAGCTAAACATAGTTTCCATATGACCCATAAATTCCACTTCTGAGTATTTACCTGACAGAATTGAAATCTGGAATGCAGAGGTTTGTACTCATAGTCAGCCTTATCTACAGCGGCCCAAAGATGGAAACAATCCGAGTGCCCATAGACGGGTGAGTGGACAGTGGGGTCCATGTAGACGGGGGCACACTATTCAGCCTTAAAAAGGAAGGGCGTTCCACCCATGCTCAGTGAAATAAGCCAGACTCAGAAGGACAAATACTGTGTGATTCCACTCATAGGAGGTCCCTAGAGGAGTCAGCTTCGTAGAGACAGACAGTAGATGGTGGGAGCCAGAGGATTAGTTTAATGGGGACAGTTTCAGTTGGGAAGGTGAGAAAGTTCTGAAGATAGTGGGGATGGTACCACCACAGTGTGAATATACGGAATGCTGGTCTGTATAAATGGTTAAGATGGTTAATTTTATGTTATGTCTCATTACCACCATTAAAATTTTTAGAAAAGCAAAAAACTGAAAAAAGATTGCTGTCCAACATCTTCAGTTTACAGAAAGGTGGGGGCTTTGCCTTCGCAACATCTCCCACTGTGAGTGGCATGTTGGTTCTTGCCCCCACAAAGGAGGTGCTTCTCTTTCTTTTACTTACTGACTTTAGAGAGAGGAAGGGGGAGAGTTGTTCTGCTTATTTATGCGTTCATCGATTCCTTCTGTGCTCTCACCAGAACCTTGGGGTATAGATGAGACACTCTAACAAACCCGGCCAGGGAAGGTCCTTTTTTTCTTTTTACCCTCACCAAGGATATTTTTTCCATTGCTTTTTCAGAGAGAGTGGAAGGGGGAGAGAGAAAGGGAGTGAAAGAGAGGGGGAGAGAGGGAGAGGAAGAGAAACACTAATGTAAGAGACACATCAATTCATTGCCTTCCATACTCAGCCAGGGCCAGGGATCAAGCCTGCAATTGAGGTATGTGCCCTTGAGGGTGGAATCAAACCTGGGACCCTTCAATCTGCTGCCTGACGCTCCAGCCGGCTAGGGTAGAAGGTACTTCTCTTGAAGGATGCTCCAGTACTCTAAGACAAACGAGCTTCAAGTCAAGAGCCAAGCAGGAGGACCTCAGAGTAGGGGCTCTAGTGCCCCAGTCCCAGCCAAGGATGGAAGGCCTCCCTGAGGAAGCCATGGCAATGGTTCCCATGAGCTCAGACCCCAGTCTGAAGGTGCCAGGACCCAGGCTAACCACTGGGGACCAGGCAACACCCCAGGGGCCTACAGGGCCCCTCCAATGCCCCCCCCCCCCGTACCCAGCAACAAGAAATAAGCCAGAAGGGCCACAGCATTTAGGAATGAGATTTATTCCAATTTAAAACAATTCATTTCAGGAGAAAGATATGAAAAGTCAACTTCCATCAGGTATCTCTGGATTAAGGGGTCAGGGCCCCAACACACTGAGCAGAGCCTCCGTCCCACCTGCCTGGACAGGACAGCCTCTGCCACAGGTTGGCATCAAGCTAATCGTGCCCATCCCCCAGCACGCAAAACAATACATGCATTTCAAATGACAAAAGGTTTAAAAACAGCATTTTATATAATATTCTTTTTTAAATAGGTTAAGGTTTAAATCGTCTGAAATCAGGACTGTGTAATATACAAGTATAACCGGACAGTGTTCTCCCCGCCAGCTGGAACAGTTCCTGCACTGCTGTTAGGGGGCATTGGCACTAAGATGTCCCTCTCAGGTCTCTCTCAAGGAGTTGGATGCCGGGAATTGGCTATACTGCAGGGTGATCTGGCACAGTGGGAGGAGCTGAAAGGTTGGCACGTGAGAGAAAGCATTAGGAGGAGTCCATCAGGGTGAAAATCAAGGACACTGACCAACCTCATGGGACCTCCTGGCCCAACTGGCACTGGCACAGAACTGGTCTTGGACACCCCACCCCACCCCGACATGGGGTGGCCCTGCCTTCAGCTCCTGGTGTGGGGCCAGGTTCGTGGGGTTCCAGAAGGCCCACGTGGGGGTGGTTTGGGGCTTTGGCCAGCCTTAGGCTGTGGTATGCTTGGCACACTGCCCCCCTCTCTAAGAGGAGTTATTTCGTCAGGTGCCTCCCCACATGCTCTTGCTGTCCCTCGAGAGCCCAATCCAGTTCCCTGTTTGTGATCTGGACCCTTGAGAGGTGCTAGGACATGCCCACCCTGTGAGAACCTCAAGTCCTTGCACGGGCCCACTGCCAGCACCACCACCTGCTCCCCCAACTGACGGTGAGAATGGAGTTGTGTTCAACCCTCTCAAATAGACACATGGCACAAAAAGAACCCTTTTTGGAAAATTGGCTCAGAAGCTGGGGATCCCCAGCCCATTCTGCCCCCAAATGGAGCTGATCACCAGGAATGTAACCACGCCCAACTTTTGCCTGTCTTCCACTCCCCATTGCCCTGAGGCCTTCCTGGCTTTGCCCTGCTGGTGGAATGGGGAGAGGAGGAAGTAGGGGTCAGCTGCCCAGGACTGGCTGTTTGGGTGGGTTGGATTTTGGTATTTGTTAGTGGCCCCCAAAAGAAACAGCCACACAGACTGCTACTGTAGGGTCCAGGTGTAGTAGGCAGGGCCACAATGTTACTGGCGGTCAGTTCCCCTTCCATTTGTGCAAAACAAAACAAACACTGTAGTGTTCAGTTTACATCAGATGAAAAGCCACCTCCCTCCCTCAAAAGATCAGCCCCCTGCTTATGCCCTCCCTCAGAGTCCCTCTGGGATGGGAACCCAGGCCAGGCAGCTCATGTCTCTGGCTCGATATATGGTCATGGCCTGGAAGCTGCACAGAGCTAAGGTGCTAGCTGCTGACTCCCACACGACCCTCAACAGCTCTGGGCAAAATGCCCCTGCTGCCTGCTCGATTCCCAGCAGCTCAGCATAGGGGTCAACAAGTGCGTGTGATGGCGGCCACTACGCCTGGGAGCCATCGCAGGACTCTCCCTCAACCTCTCTCTGCTTCATGGGAACAGACCTGAGAATATTCTGAAAAAGTCCCCAGCCCACCATCATCACTGTTTGCAAACTGGTTACAAAAATGGAATGAAAGCAAAAGTGACTCCCATTCAAGTGGGCCCTCTCCTGGCTCCCAGGCCATGTGGGCTCTCCGGGCACTGTCCGGCCTGGGTGATGAGCACGCGACCCTTGGGTACACAGGGACCAGGCCAGGGAGAGCTCCAAGCAGGCCAGATGGCTCTGGAGACACTGTCCAGAGTACCCCCTAAGCCCCAGGGCTCTCAGAGGGCAGTGGGGACAAGGCAATCACCAGAGGCTGAGACAAGGTCCAGAGACATCTCCTTCACTGCAGAGGAGCCCATATACTTTTTGTTTCTTCTTTAAAAAAAAAAAAAAAAATGGTTAGGCACTTCCCAGGGTGGGCAACAGGGGAAGCCACCCACCCCCACTTCTTGGAGTCCAGTGAGCAAAAACACAGCAAAGTCGTGAGGATGGCAATAACTTAAAAAAAGGAAGAAAGAACAGTCACAGTCTCCACATCTCCATACCAAGGGACCAGGGCCAGCTGGGCGGTTCTGTTCCACGGTGGCTGAAGGTGCAGCCCTGGGGGGCTGGGGTGTGGGGCTAAGGGAGGCCTGGAGGCGCTGGGGGCAGGGCACTCACTTGTCTCATCTTCGCTTGTCTCATTTTTCTTTTTTTTTCTTTTTCCTTTTTTTTTTCTAGAAAAAGGCGAGCCACAGTCAAGGCCAGAAAAAGGCAGCCTGTGCCGCTGACAATAGGTGAGAAGGTGCACGAAGTATATAGAAAGAAAGATGTACATCCCCTGATAACTGTGAAATAAAAACCATTTGTTAAAAATATGGAAAAAAAAATCAGCTCCTCTGCAGGCAGAGCCGCTGTCACATCATCACACAGGAGGGTCTGTCCCGTGGGTTTTCCACAGGGTCACACCAGGTTGTACTCCTTCAGGTTGAGCTGCAGGATGGTGTCCTTGACAGCCGCGAAGACAAAGCGGATGTTCTCCGTGTCAGTGGCGCAAGTGAAGTGAGAGTAGATGATCTTGTCACTGTCAGGGTTCAGGTCCACAAACATCTTCAGGATGAACTCCCGGGCAGCCTGAGCATCCCGCTGCGGCCCTGGGGGAGGTGAGGTGGATAAGTCAGGCCAGCTCAGACCTGCAGTGCAAGGGACGGGGACCAGGGTGCCAGCCATGTGGGGCAGCTTATGCCACAGGCTCCTAGGCTGAGATGTGCCTGCAAGAAGGCAGCTTTCTTTGTGTGGATGTGCGTGGGGGTCTGCAAAGCCCCTCACCCATCTCCACCCACTTGCCCTTGGCTCCACCCAGCCAGGACCACTGCTGCTGTGCATATTCCCGGGATGCTCCCCTCACCTTCAAACTCGGGCCATGCCTCCCTTCCAGCCTCACTTCACCTGATTCCATTTACGCTGCGCCACAAACACCCACATCCAAACACAGGCATGCATCCACACACATACACACGTGCCCAGACCTACGCACATACCTGCACACACATGAACAGCTGCCGCCCCAGCCTGTCCATCCAACTGTTCACACCCTTGCCCAAAGGCTCCTGCCCACAATGTCTGTCCTTCCCTGTCCATGGTCTGCACTCACCCTGAAGTCTTGGTTCCCATCATCTCACTGTTCCCTCCCAGCAAACCTCCTGCTCTCCTCCCATCAGAAGCAGTCCCTGTCTGCCACACCCAACACCCACCCACCCCCAGCCCAAGAGGCCCAGGCGACTGAGCTCAGAGTCCAGCACCCTAATCCCTGCCAGGCCTCAATCAGGTCTTTAGGGCAGGAGCCAATGGCCCAGACCACAAGGCCCCACCCATGACTGGTGGGGCCGAGCCTATCACCACCAACTCGAAGGCTGGGCATTGTGTTTCACAGGTAGCAGCCCTTAGGGAGATGTCCCATCCATGATCCCTGCTCTTTTGACAAGCCTGGATAGCATGAACACCCAGCATTGGCACCACCACCTGCCTTATATCAGGAGAGAGTGACTGAGGGCCCTGGGGCAGACAGCTACAGCTCACGCACAACAGAATGGGGGTGCCGAAAGGATAGGTGAGATGGTCCACATGAGCTGTCTGCGCTCCATTAGGAACTCAGCTGATCCAGGGAGGGGTTGGGATGGTGGTCCTGGATCACCCTTTATTCCCAGCACCAAGCTCCTCCTTATGGCTGGGCCATTGAGCCCACATGAACTTCTCACTCAATGTGAGTGTTCCAGCTCGTCCCTCCTATTGCTGTATACCAACTGCAAGGTGGCCCCTCCTGCAGATGATGCTCCCTCTGGGGACACAAGGCCTTTCTGCCCATTAAATGCTTGGGAGGATCCTGGAAGAAGCAAACAGAATATAGTGCTGGGGCCCCAGGAAATCCTGGCCTGCACTAATCATGCTCAGGCCTGAGGGAACCACCATCCTGGCTGTCAGATGAAAACATCAAGGCCCAAAGAGGGTAAGGGACACAGTGGAGGCACCCAGCTCGCCTCCTCAATAGATCAGGTGAGGCTCAGGGGCTCTGGAACGTCTCCTGGTTCTTTGGGGGCCATGCAGGGAGGATGAGGCACAGAGAGGCAAGGATCCCATAGAGCTCACCATCAAATTCGGGGAAGTAGTCCACCAGGTGGGAGTACAGGATCTTGTCCTCCAGCAGGTCCTTCTTGTTGAGGAAGAGGATGACCGACGAGTTCTGGAACCAGGGGTAGGTGATGATGGTCCGGAACAGGGCTTTGCTCTCCTCCATGCGGTTCTGCAGAGGGAAGGCTCCAGGATCAACGAGGCTCCAGGAGCTGTCCTTGTCCAGAGTCCTCAGAAGGGCCCTGGGCTGGTGGGTGGGAGAGCCCCTCACCTCCACCCAGGACCTCCCTCCCCTTGGCAGGCCGAGCATTGGGAGGGGTGCCTCACCTCATTGTCTGACTCCACCAGGACTTGGTCGTATTCACTAAGGGCCACGAGGAACATGATGGATGTCACGTTCTCAAAGCAGTGGATCCACTTCCTCCGCTCGGACCTCTGTCCTCCCACATCCACCATCCTGCGGGGGACAGGAATGCCACAGGGGCTCAGTGCTGGGCTCTACAGATAGCACTACTTCTCCCAGAAAGCCCCTCCCCACGAGCATGGCTGCATCTGCTAGAGTCTTGTGGGCCCCTAATACCTGCTAGAGTCACAGATGCCCCAAAATACCCATTAGAGCCCTGAGGGTCTCCCAATACATATCAGAGCCAGAAAAGCCCCCACTATCCACTAGAGCTACAAGGGCCCCTCAATACCCGTTAGATCTCCAACAGCCCCCTACTACCCATTAGAGCCCCAAGAGTTCCCCCAATACATGTCATAGCCATGAGGACCCATCATATCTGTGGGAGCCAGAAAACCCCCCATATCTACAGTAACCAGCAGAGCCTCCCATATCTGTGGGAGCCATCAGAGCCCCCCAGATCTGTGGAAACCAGAATACTGCAGAGGCTTCACATCTGATTCCTGTCCTGACAGGAGCCCTTGGTCTAAAGTGCCCAGTGGACAGGCACACGTGGTGGGTGTGAGGTGCAAACCCAGTGGGACCTGCAATGTGGGCCCATCCTTGGACCCCACATCCTGCATCTGGAAACACCCTCCCTTCATTGGTCATCATGCAGCATTGTCTGTAACACACCAGCACCAGTCTCAGCCTCCCCCACAAAGAGACCCAGATAGACCAAGGATGTTCAGTCCACAAACATGCGTTAGCCACTGCGTGGGAATGAAGGGACAGCCTCAGAGTGAAGCTGCGTGTCCTGGCACTGGGTGAACACAGTGGGCTACGAAGTCTTCTATCCAGCGTGAGAAGCAGGTAAGAAACAACAGGCCCAGAAACAAAAGGGTGAAACTGGGGACAATGTTTGAGAGACAGGGTTAGTTACAGGGGCTTTCTCCTTTCTGCTGTGAATTCCCTAGGCTTTTTTTTTTGCTTTTTGTTTATCCTCATTTGAGGGTATTTTTTTCCATTGATTTTTAGAGAGTGGAAGGAAGGGAGCGAGAGGGAGACAGAGAGCGAGAGAAACACAGACGTGAGAGGGACATCAATTGGTTGCCTCCAACACCACGTGCCCCCACTGGAACCGGAGACTGAACTTGCAACCCAGGTACATGTTCTTGACCAGGAATCAAACCTGCGAACCTCCGGTTCACGGGCCAATGCTCTAACCACTGAATCACACCACCCAGGGCTAAATTCCCCAGGTTTTTAAAGATTTTTTAAAATTGATTTTTAGAGAGGAGAGGAAGGGAAAGAGGGAGAGAGAGAGAAACATCAATGTGAGAGTGAAACATTGATCGCCTGCCTTCTGCACGCCCCCACACTGGGGATTGAGCCTGCAACTGGGGCATGTGCCCTGACTGAACTGGCCGCTTTTTGGTACATGGACGATGCCTAACCAACTGAGCTACACTGGCCAGGGTCCCTAGTTTTGTTTTAAATATCTTTTTTACTGATTTGAGAGAGAAAGGGAGAGGGATAGAGAACTAGAAACATCGATGAGAGAGAAACATCAATCGGCTGCCTTCTGCACACCCCCTACTGGGATTAACCCCTCAACCTGGGCCATGTGCTCTGACTGGGAATCCAACAGATGACCTCTTGGTTCATGGGTTGACGCTAAACCACTGAGCCACGCTGGCTGGGCAGTCCCTAAGTTTTTGTTTTTATTTCAAATATATCTTTGTTGATTTCAGAGAGAGAAAGGGAGAGGGGGAGAGATAGAAACATCAATGATGAGAGAGTCATCATTGAATGGCTGCCTCCTACACACCCCCGACTGGGGATAGAGCCTGCAACCCAGGCATGTGCCCTGACCAGGAATCAAACCACAATCTCCTGGATCATAGGTTGATGCTCAACCACTGAGCCATGCCTGGCTGGGCATAGGTTTTTGATAATGAGGAAAAACACTCTGTTTTTAAAAAGGAAGGTAAAGGCTATAAGGGAAAGCAGCCCTCAAGCCCCCAACCTGAACTGGAGAAGACTAGAGTCCCCACAGCTACTCCCCCCGCCCCCCGCTACACACACACTGCTGTGTGGAAGGCAGGGCTCAGACAGAAACGGCCCCAAGGAGGGGTTGAGCCACAGACTACCCACCCTGCTCCCATGGCCAGCAGAGGCAAATTCACCTGGCAGAGATTTCACAGAGGAGACACCAGCAAGCACAGGTGGATGGCGGATGTGCCAGGGAGGCTATAAAGGGACAGGAGGGTGGTGACAGGCCAAGAGCCCTGTGCTCGATGCCAGGCACATGATGGCAGCTGCAGCCAGTCTGGGAAATGCCATCAGGGACAACAGTGTTTGGGGCAACAGCCTTTCTAAAGCATGAGCCTTCCTGGTACGGCTGGGCTAAAACCCACACATGAGGTCCCCACTTTGGGACCAGGCACATCTCACATCAGGCCAATCAGGCCATCATTCGATGACATCTGAGCTCCGACTGGCGCCAGGCCATGAGCTCGGTGCCAAGGCCACTGGCCTGCCTTCTGTGATCGTACAACCAGACAAGTGCATAGCTGGATGAAGGCACAGCTGGACAAGAGGAGTACAGATGGACAAGAGCACAATTGGAAGAGGGGGACACAGCTGGACAAGGGGCCTTCATACCCCTCAACTGCCCCACAGCACCCTTGCTCTGACAGAAACTCCAGACCACCCACCACTCCTGCACAAGTTAGTATCCTCTCTCATACACAGCCCCACTGTGAAGGCTCCACCAAAAAGCCATCTCCCCGAGGCCGCCTCTGGCCAGCCCCCAACAGTCACTGGTGCCTGGCTCACTCTGAAACTTGGGGATAGTTACTTATTCATAAATCTTATCTCCTGTCCTGGATCAGAAGCTCTCTGAGGGCAAAGACTAGTATTTTTGCTGCCCCCACAATGGGGGCTCCAGGTCTGAGGACAAACAGCCCTCACAGCAGCCAACAGAGCCCCGACTTCCCCAAAATGCCACCACTCTCGGGAAGCCAGGACACAGGCACCTGAAGATGATGTTCTCCAGGTCAAAAGGGTACTCGATGATGCCAGTGGTGGGCACACGGACCCGAAGCACATCCTGCTGGGTGGGCAGGTAGCCCGAGGTGGCGATGCGGTCCACGTCGGTCAGGTAGCTGCAACAGAGCAGGGACAGGCCAGGCTGAGAGGGGAGGGGACAACCCACCCACCAACAGTCCCCTAAGCAGCCTGAAGGGGCTTGCAGGGGTCTCACCAGCAGGGGCTGAAGCAGCCAGGAATACTTGGGACAAGGCCTTCCCACCCCCACAACCTGGACAGGAAGGAGCAGGTCGTTCGCTGGGTCTCATGGGACAGAAATGATGCTGACCAGGGAGAGAGAGTCAGGAGGGACTCTCTAATAGAGCTGCCCCAGGATGGCTACTCTAGAAGGAGAAAAGGAACCAGCAGTGGGGTTTCCAAGAAAGGCTGCCGGGCTGGAGGGGTAACTTTTGAGAAATAAATTTACTATTTTAGGACTGTTTTAGAGCCACAGAAAAGTTGTAGAGATACAACAGAAACTTCCAGCACACACCTACCTTCCCCACCATGAACATCTTCCATTAATTTAGTGCATCTGTCACCACTAACCAGCCAATATTCAGTATCATTAACCAAGTCCACCCTTTCCCAGGGTTGCTTCAGTTTCCCCTAATGTCCTTTCTCTTTCCCAAGACCCTGACCAGGACCCACGTGACCTTCAAACCATTCTCTGGTGGGGTAGGCAGGCAGCACCTTACTCACTATTTGGCAGAGTCGGAGAGCTGGTACTCCCGCCTCCGGTCGTAGCACTCCTGGATGCCAGGGTCATTCCACAGGGTCTTGATGGCATTGACGTACCGATGCTCAAATGTTGTCACCTTTTCCACATCCACTTCCCGAATCAGGAGCGCATTGGCCTGTGAGGACAGGGGGGAGAAAGGCCATGGGCTCACCAGTGGCCTGGAAACATGCAGTGCATCACTCGTCCCAGGTTGTGGTCATACTCAGAACCCAGCTGACTAAAGTCAGAACTATCAACTCCAGTTTCATGTGAACACAAGAGAGAAACGAGGATCACTGGCTGCAACTGTCCCTCAGTGCCAGGTCCCAAAGCAGACCCAACATTGAGGCACCTCAGAGCCTCATGTCCACCATGTCCCCCTGTGTAGGAAGGGGCTTTTGCAGGAGGGGGAGGCGTGTGCCAATAAAGCTGTATTTATAGAAACAGGCTGCAGTTTGCCCCCTTCTGTCCTAGATGCTGATGGTCATCTATGGTCCAAGTGTGAACTGGACTCTGAATCAAGCCTCAACTGGAAGAGATACTATAAACCGAGACCCAGTGGGCCAGAGGCCCAAGCTGACCCCACACATGGCGCCCACAGCCAGAATGGCAGACCTGGTAGGGGTCCCTGAAAAACCTATGAACTGGGTAAAGGTAAGACCACACCTATCAGAGATATATATCAGAAATCTGGCTGACTGACATTCTGAAGCCTAAAAGTAAATGGGTTCATTTAAGCCACATTTGGACAGATATGGACTCCAAACCATGCATTAGTCCAGGGAAAACTTCTGGGTGTGTGAGAAGCCCCCAAAAACAGATTTACAAAAGCAAAGCAAAGAGAGGCCACCAGCAAAGGCCATAGGTGCACAGCTGGTAGGGCAACCACTGGGGAGAGCAGGCAATTACTAAGTACACTCCCAGGAGAAATGAGAAAAGTTGTGCAAATAGAAACTTGTTCACAAATGTCACAGCACCAGGATTCACAAAGGCCAAAAAGTGGAGACAACCAAGCGTCCATCAATGGGTGAATGTGGTCCATCCATGCATTAGAATATTACTCTGCCATGAAAAGGATGAAGCACTGACACTCCCTTCAATGTGAGTGAACCTTGAAAACACAACGCTCAGCGAGAGAAACCAGACACAAAAGGCCACACTATATGATTCCATTTATATGAAATGTCCAGAACAGGCACATTCAGAGATGGGAAGTGGTAGCCAGAGGCTGGGGAGGGAGATGGGGAGCAACTGCTAATGGGGACAGAGTATATATATATATGTTTTTTTTTTAATTCTAACCCAAGGATATGTTTATTGATTTCAGAGAGAGGGGGAGCGAAAGAAAGAGAGAAACATCAATATGAAAGAAACATCTATTGGTTGACTCTAGTACGCACCCCAACTGGGGATTGAACCCACAACCTAGGTATGTGCTCTGACCAAGAACTGAACCCACAACCTTTTGGTGTACAGGACAATGCTCCAACCAACTGAGCCACCCAGCCAGGGCAGGACAGGGTATTTTTTGGGGGAGATGCAAATGTTCTGTAATTAAGTAAAGGTGATGGTGCATGACTCTCTGTAAATATGTTAAAAAGGAACTGCATACTTTAAACAGGTAACTTTTGTGGTATGTGGATTCCATCTCAACAAAGCTGTTACTAAAAAAAAAAGAGAGAGAGAGGGAACTGTCATCTCCATGGGGCCACCAAGAGGGCCAAATATGGCATCTGAAGTGCCTGGTAGGACAAGGGGCCCTCTGAGGGGCTAGGAACCAGGAGTTCACACTGCCCATCCCAGGGTAGCTAACCCGCCGGATGGATTCCCAGTCCATATAATGGGGGCACTAACAGCTACCTGATAGGGGAATCTGGGGTTCCAGCAGAATGTACAGGCCCAGCAGTGGCCCCCACTATCCCCTGCAGCCCATGTGCTGCCCAGGTGGCACTTCCCTACAGCCTGTGGCCTCACCTTGTTCTGCTCGTACTTGTACAGGATCTTCAGAGTCTCCATGGCCCGGATCATGGCCTGCATGGCGGTGAAGATGTTCTGGTAGACCAGCTTGGTGAAGCCCCGCTTGTCCTCTTCCGAGTAGCCAGCCCCATGGATGATGCGCATCTGCTTAATGAATGTGCTCTTCCCACTCTCCCCTGTGCCTGCAACGCACAACGCGGCCCAGTGAGACAGCACACTAACAGCTTGCACACACACCGTGACCACCACATCCCCACCCAGTGCACCAGGAGCTGAGTCTCTAGGACACAAGCTTCTGGCCCCAGGTAGCTCGTTGGCCCTCAGAGGGGACACGGGACACATTTGACCAAGAGGCAACCACTCTTTGAAACACATCCCTGAAATTTACTTGGTCATCCTCCCACTTGTACCTGTCCTACACAAGAGGAAACTGAGGCTTGGAAAAAGGACGTCTACAGGGTAGTTAGCCCCCAGGTGCACAACAGGCCCTACAGGATCACAGTGACAGGAGGTGAATGGCCACCGCACTGGGTACGAGTCAGCATAGCGTCAGACTTTAACAGGGCTGCAGATGAGGACTCAGAGGCCCATAGAAGTTACATGTCTCTCCACCAGATGCCGCCACCTCCTTACCTAGTCAGGCTGACTAGTGACCTTTCCCTGGGAGTTCACTCAGCCCTTTCCCAGGCGCACCCTGGATCCCTGTCTAATCTGACAATATCTGTCGACCTTCCACCAATCCTCTTTGACAAGTGCCTCCAAGAACAGTCTCCTTTGGGGCAGGAGTTCGGTAACTGAGGCCAAGGCCAAGGCAGTGAGGGCCAAATCAAGTCGCAGGGCCCAGGATCATCACCTCAAGGTCCCCAGAAGCTCCTTTCTCATTAGCTCCAACCTTGTACCCAAACCCAACATCAAGCCATGTTGCGCTCCCTGGTTCTACCCCGTGTGACCACAGCACTATGTCCCATGTCCACCCAGAGGTCTGGGTATCGCCCCTCTGCCCTCCCACCACCACATCCACTCTCCTATCTCTGTTCCAGAAACCGAATCCCTTTGTGTCTCATTTCTTCCTCAATAAGCATGAGGGGATACGGCCACCTTACCAGGCTCTTCTAGGGTGAGCGCTCTGGCCCTCACCTCAGAGAGGGGCACACTGAGGCTCTGCTACCTCAAAGGATCAAAAAGTCAGGAAAACCATCTAAAAGGGGCCACTTGGCTGGCTGTGTCCTCACCCTAGCCTCGAGATGAGGCCTGGTCTCAATGCATGCCATTCAACCAGGAGTCCTCCATGCCTCCGATCCCTCCCAGCCCCCCTCCAGCACCAACACAGCCCCTGGTGCCTCTCCTGCTTCAGCCTCTCACTGCCCTGGTCAGCCCACTTTGGTGCACACACACACAGGGACAGCAACTGCAGCTGTTTTAATGTGTTCACAAATCTGAGGGGCCTCTCACCAATAGCTACATGAGGAAGTCACCCTGGAAGGGACTCCTCCAGCCCCAGCCAATGGCTTTACCGAAACCTCATGAGAGACTCTAGAACCCTCAGAATCTTCAGATAACAAGTGTTTGTGGTTTTCAGCTACTAAGTTTTGGAGTGATTTTATTACACAGCAAGAGAGAACTTCTAAATTCAAAAATGCACTGCCTCAGACGCCCCACTCAATAACACAGGTCCCCTCTCATGGACTGAACCCCCACACCCCCTTTTGGGGACTCAGAACATCCCAAACTTGTCTGAACCCATCACTCTAGGCTCATCTTCAGCACTCTCTGTGAGTTGGCCTGCGTTTCCCCACTTCCATGTGTTTGCCAGAGCTGTGCCTCTATCCATGGTGCCATCTGCTCACAGCCACCTGTGACACGGACTGCACCCCAGAAAACCCTGAGCCCCAGGCAGCAGCTCCCCTCCCTGGACACTGGGAACCATTACCACCGCCTGTGTGGGGAGTCTCTCTGCAGGGGTCTGTCACCAGCCTTTGTGACTGGGAGCTCCTAGAGAAGAGACCGATTCCATGGCCTCCCTGGGTGATCACACTGCTCTGCAGCCAGGAGGTCTTCAACCAACATCCAAGTAACTGACCACAGGCACCTGAGCTCACTCAGGGAGACCCAGAGTAACAAATTAGACACATTATAAAGCAGGGACCTTGGCTGCAGCTGCCTCTTTCTGGTACTTTTATCAACCACCTCAGATCCTTTCTGGAACAGATAAATATGACTTTGGTTCTGTCATCAAGTGGTCATTACTCCCATACCATCCCGCACCCATCCTAACTCACACAATCACCTCGGCCACAAAATGTACAAGAGGCCAAATGCCCACCTGCCCCAAACCGACCTGAGTTCCAGGGGCAGGAGGGGGTGGAGGGTCCATGCATGTGACCCCATGCCTCCCCAGAGGAATCCACACTGCCCCTCCCTCGCCACACACTGCAGGGAGGGGCGGTGGTGTGCTAAGAATGTGATTTCTACTGCATTTTCCCCTTGACCAGGGTCCCCCCTTGGCACTGCTGACAGGTCATTCTCGGGGGAGGTGAGCACTGTAGGATGTTAGGCAGTATCCCCAGCCCCCACTCAATGCCAGGAGCACCCCCATCGTGACAACCACAGGTGTCCCCCAGATACTACCCAGTGTCCTGTAGGGAAAGGATCAGCCCATTTTTGACAAAATGCTATTACGCAAAGGTAAAACTGCCTTGTTGGTCTGTGAAAGTATCTCTCACTGGAAACAGTCAAACAGGTGCAAGAATTAAAACCAAACACCCAAATGCAGCCCCACAGGTCAGCCTGGAGCCAAGCCAGGCAGGTCCCACACTCAGTCCACAGACCCCAGTGCTGCCAACACCTCAACTACAGAAGGAACAGCAGCCTCAGCTTTCACATGAGGATGCTGGGAGGACAAGTGAAGAGTCTGAAAACCAGATAACTGCCCAGATGGGAAAGGAACTGGCCTCATACTGGGTTTTTAAAAATGGAGGCGAAAATGACAATGAGAGCCCCCTCCACAGAGCTCTCCAGAGGTAGTACAGGCACACTGGGGGTGTATGTGTCAGTCACATACACACGTGCATGCACACATGCACACCCATACACATACATGTGTACACATGCAGCCCACATCAATCAGCACGTGACACTGCTTGGGCCCCAGGAGAGGAGGGGAGGTGTAGCGGGTATGTTTGTGGAGGGGCCCTGAATGCCACCTCATGATTGTCAAAAAGCTGCCAGCCCCTGGAAACATCAGGGGTCCTGGATGAGGTGTGTAGCCAAGGTCACCCAGTTTCCCTCCAAACCCCACGGTCACCTAGTCTGCAAGTCCCCCCACACTGCAAAGACAGCAGCCATGACCGACCTCCAGAGGAGGCAAAAGGCACACAAAAAAGCACAAGTACATGAAGTGGTAGAGTTTTTAACTCACCTGATTGTGGCAAACATTTTACAATACATACCTGCTTCAAATCAACATGTTGTATACCTTAAACTTACATGTTTCATGTCAACTGTGTCTCAGTAAAGCTGGGGGGAAAAGCAAGAGGGACACCTCAGGGATAATGTGGCCTAGGACATGGAACAGTCAGTGTGGCCATCACTTTTCAAGGAAAGTCAGAGAAAGGAGGGTATGGAGGTAGCAGCTGCAGAGATGGAAAGTCCACTGAAGAGGGCACCACGTATTATGTGTCACCTGTGTTCTGGGCCAACAGAGACGAGTGAGGAGATGCCAATGCCAGCCCTGAGAGTGAGCATCCACGCCAGGAGCAATGGCATGGGAGGCAGGAGCCAGCAGGGAGGGCCCTTTGCCCTGGAGCAGTCCAGGCCCAGCTGGCCTGAGAGGTGCTCAGCCACTGATATGACTGGGGGGGGG